TTAAAAACTATTTAAAGGGACTTTTTGTAATCAACTTCTGCACAGTTCAAAAGCTTCATCACCAGGTGGCACGTATGTATGCTGCTGCATTTAAAATTGTAATCTCTCTTTTTAGCTAGCCCTATTTCCTCTAGATGCTCTGCCTTTTTGCCTAGCCATTAGAAATTACATTGTGTGTGCTTAATGACTCTTCTGTGAAGGCTTTCCACAGGTTTTAGGGGTGTGTTTATGGGAAATTTCAACCGTTCTTCCAGCAGTGCATTTGTGAGGAGTGCAAGAATAATTGATCCCAAAGGTGTTCTATCAGGGTTGAGGTCAGGTCTCTGTGCAGGCCAGTCAGGTTCTTCCACAGCAACTCAGCCATCCATCTCTTTATGGACTTTGCTTTGTGCACTGGTGTGCAGCCATGTTGGAACAGGATGGGACCATCCCCAAACTGTTCCCATGAAGTTGGGAGCATAAAATTGGCCAAAATGTCTTGGTATGCTGAAGCATTAAGAATTTCTTTTCACTGGAAGTAAAGGGCTGAGCCCAGACCATAATATGTCCTTTACCAAACAGTGCAGTCGGACATTTACTGGTCTCGTGGAAACCACCAAACCCAGAATCATTCATCGGATTGCCAGATGGAGAGGCGTGATTCGTTACTCCAGAGAACACGTCTCCAGTGCTCTAGATTCCAGTAGTGCCTTGCTTCACACCCCTGCAGCCCACACTTTACATTGCAGTTGGGGATGTAAGGGTTGGCTGCAGCTGCTCAGCAAATGAAACCTATGCCATGAAGCTCTCTGTGCACCATTCTTGAGCTCATCTGAAGGCCACATGAAGTTTGGAGGTTTGTAGCGATTGACTCTGCAGAAAGTTGCCGACCTCTGCCCACTCTGCACCTCAGCATCTGCTGACTCGTGGCCACCAATTGGCTGAGTTGCTGTTGTTCCCAATTGCTTCTACTTTGTTATAATACCACTAACAGCTGACTGTGGAATATTTAGTAGTGAGGAAATTTCACAGCTGGACACGGTACCACGCTGGAATTCACTGAGCTCCTGAGAGCGAGCTGTTCTTTCACACATGTTTGTAGAAGCAGTCTGCATCCCTGTGTGCTTGATTTTATACACCTGTGATTGGAACATCTGAATTCAATGATTTTGGATGTGTGAGTGAAGACTTTTGGCAATGTAGTGTCCTCAGCACAGCACAGACATTTTGGACAGTGGGTGTTTCTTTGCATCCTGCTGACAGCTCTAGTTAATTTAGGAAGTTTTCAAGTACAAGAATTCACAATATGTACCTTAAAGCATAAATCACTCCAGATAAAAAAATATTCCAGTTAAATTCACAACAGACCCACAACATCTGAGGAGCAAATGTCTCTAAAGGCATCAGTTTAATTGAACGCAATCAGCCATTTTCTAAACTACTTATCCTCTCCAGGCGGAGCTGCGGCGCTGATCCCTACTGGATTACTTTTTTGTTCTTCAACAAAAGACTCAGGGCTGTGTCAAATTAGAAGTGTGGAAAAGCCAGGAAACATAAGACGGGCTGTACAAAATGCCACTGACAAGGTCTTTGAGTCATTTTTGCCTCTATGAACACTAATCCTACTCATAGTGCCAGGGGCTGGTTAGAGTAAGCATTACCAAAGCCTGTTATTGGACATGTTTTTGTGTGAGAAATTGGAGTTCAATGACTGAACCACCCAACTGTGCGCTCTATCTAATCTTCACCTAAAGAACAAGCCAGCACTGTTGTCGATGTAACTGTTCAATAAGCAGTTTGTAAACGCAGAGCAAGCTGCAGGGTTGGGTGTTCTCCATGCTGCTGAAATGCTGCCCGGCAAAGACAGTCCATCTGGTCAGACTTCTCTCAATACATTAAAATTCCTCTGTGGCTATTTGGGTTGTGCTTTTCCTAATTTTGAGATGGCGACATCAAACCTATTCTAGATTAAAAGCATCTTTCCAAGAAGAAGAAGAAGATGAAAATCAGCAGCTGGTGCCACAAAGCAGCTTCTCTTTGTATGACTTGCCACAGTAATTATGAAGGAGGATGTAAGTTAGTAAGGAGTACATCTATTACCTCTTTTTCCTGTTCAGCTTAGAGAACTTGCTAAATGTACATATATATTTGCATAAATCAAAACTTGTTTTACTTATTTTCCTCATGGATAGGGTTACTCTGTGTGGTATAAGCATACCCGAGGATAGACAGGCCTTCTGAAGATAGACTAAACGTCCCAAAAACATTGGTGTGTTCCTGAAATAAACTAGATTTCTCTAGAATAGAACTAAAAATATCCGAAATGAGATACAGACGAGACATTAAATGACCACAAAAAATGTGAAATGGCTCTAAAGAGACACACTGGCTCTAAAGTGATTTACAAAATCAAGATCTAAAAGATCTAAATTGAATCCAAACAACCTATAAAGATGCAAAAATAGCCAATGTGAGTTAGAAAACAATCATTAATTTATGCAAAACAATCAAGATTTCACAAAAAAATCGTTACAGAGCGACAAGCTGGCCAAATTAAGACAGAAAAAGATACAAAATTACTTCAGAAAGGCATAGAATAGCTCAAATAGATGCAAAATAACCATAATGATACACAATATGACCCTAAACAAACCCAAAATGAGAAAAA